AACGGCCCCTCAATTAAAAAAAAAAAAAAAAAAAAAAAAAGCATATTTTCATAATGTAAACTCTGGCTAATATCTGTATGTAAAAAGTGTTCTAACTAAAAAGCTTAATATGGCAGCACTGAGGAAAACTAACCCTGTACAACAACAATCTCTATCATTAGTTTAGCTTAAGTATTCCAGTTGCAACTCTTCACTTGGACTTTATGTTTGCACACAGGAAAAGAGCAATGGACTCAAACTGTCATATAATACCAACTAAGACTATAATATCCATTATATTTAAGAACTATGATAAGCCTAAACAGGGAATTAATGCTATCTGTGTATATAGTCAAGTATTTAATCTCAATTTCTTACTAGTAACAATGCAGATGAAAGCCAGCCACTATTTATATTTTAAGGGAATCCATATTATTTGAATTATTTAACTCAGGAGCAGACAAAATACTTTTCCTTAATAAAAAGAATAGTGGTTGTGATCTTGCTGAAGAGTATGGTACAAAAAGAAAAGTCACTTCCAGCACTGTAATTATGTTGTAGGAATTCTTTACCAGGTTACCATATCGACAACTTTTTTTTTTTTAAGCCACATTCTTGCTGGGGTACCTTTTTTCCATGCACTTCAGCCACCAAACAGATGAAACCATACCACCTAAACCAGTTTAGCTGTGCTATGGGAATAAGACTCATCTCACTTAATTTAAAAAACAGGCATTACGTTTTGTGTTCTAATAAATGTCTATTCATCTGAAATCTCTGGTCAATGGAAAAGAAAAAAGCAGATTTAGCTGCATTCAAAGATCCACAAGTCATTTCTTCCATCATAAATGAGTTTATGAGCTATAAGGGAAATAATTATATCACCTGTTCGTATCAACTAGTATTTTAGACAGCAGTTCATGGATTTAAGCAGGCCTCTTGTTTGCATACACATTTCATGAAAAAAATAGTTTCAACATGCTTTCTTCAAGTCTTGTATATGTATCAATTCCTGCTTCCTTTTCATAACATAAAATTAAAGCATAATTCCTTCTATACAACAGAATATCAGCACAGCAGAATTTGATATAATAAAAAGTCAGTAATATACTCTTTCAAGACTTTTTTGTTCGTATAGGGTTTTTTCTGAAATTGGAATTTAAAAAAAAACAAACACAACACCTTTGGTCTAACACCTACTCTCTCATAAAGCAGCTGTGGCTTATTAAAAACATGGTGGTTCATCTCATGAAGTCGGTTAGAACACAGAATCAGTACAGCCTGCTCTAAAAACTACTCCTGTGCCAGCTAAGGCACATCCCATCCAGCCCGCAAAACAGGCTACTTACTGAACTAGATGTTTCCAGAGGGCTTCTGCACCGGACTGGAGATATGTCAATTGAACAAAGCACTCCAAGTGGCTGACTACCACATGGACTATGCAGAGAAGGGGACAAACACTCAGATACACTTCCATTTTCTTCTAAAAACAGCTTTCTTCTGAGTGATGAAGAGCTCAGATTTTCCTGAGACTGATCTGCAAATTCATCAGTTCTAAAATATTCACCTAGAAACATGGAGAAGTGGTTTCCAATAAGAATGCAAGAAAAAAAAAATCTTCCACTATAGAGACATATATAACTAAATTAAAACATTTAATCCAATTTACCCATACAGCAAGGAATTTACCTAATTTGGGCACCTATCCCAAAGGATCACTTGTTATCATTACAAAAAGTCCACTCTGTCTACCACGGTTCCACTTCTGCCTATCATCCTCTAATACTAAAGTCAGCATTTTAAAAAAATTATATAAATATTGGCTAGCATCTACTTACTGGCCTTTTCCCAAAATTGTATTATTCTTCACATCTCAGTTGTGAAAAAGGGGATTTTATACCACCCAAGGAAAACTAGACCCTTTTTCAGGTCTCCCATATGCTTTGATGGTCATCGTGATACATTCAAAGGCAAACCAGATTCAACTCGAAGAAAGTCAAAACAGTTAGCAGTTTACAGTAGCAGAGCATACAGATGTTACCAAAGACCCATTACAATATGCTGAGACTTAACAGATTAGTTTTTTTGCTCTTGCTCTATTCTAATTGGATATTTCTTGTAGAAGAAATTTTTCCTGAATTCACAAACTATGCATTGATGGAAGCATTTGTTAAGATGAAATACAAAAGCAATAGATATGGTTCTGTTTTTCTGTTTTAATTTTGATGACTCACAATCAGGGTTGTGAACTTCAATACTGGGATAGGAGCATGCAGCAAAAAACCTCCGAGCTGGCTGTACCCACTATTCCCATATATGAGCTGTAAGAACAGGCCTTTCCAGCCCCCTTGCCTGAGAAGCTGGCAGCAATTGCTTGATACAGCAGTTACACTCAGACAGTTAATTTGGACTCTTGTCTCCCCACTCAGCAGTCATGGCTTTTTTGCCACCACACAACTTCTAATCACCACCATGGCTTCAGTTAAATTAAAGGCACAGAATCAGAGCATAGGTTTGCTCAAGGCAAGGTTGGGCTATGAGCCTCATGGCCAGCAATCCGTAAGTCAAACAGCTCTGCTAAGTTAAATAACTGCTCTATTTGGGGGAGGCAGGGGGTGTCTTCTGCTGACTACCTTTTATGCATTCAGAATTATTAATCAATTTCCAATTGTCCTCCATATCCCTCCTCTTTTATCTTTATGTCTACACTCAAATCATGTAAGTCAGATGTCCCATGCAACACTCAATAACTGTCTATTTAGAACACATACTTAAAACTTTCATTCATACATTAGGTTTTCAATATTTCATAAGACAAAAAAAACAGCAAACAATACAAACCCAAGTTTTCTATTTAGACATTCACAATTAAATTTAGATATTACACAACATACCTAGTATTTTCTCTAAATTAAAATCCACTGGCAAAGACAGTACTGTCTGACAAGCAGCTGCAATGAATAAAACCAACAAAATTAGCTTGCAGTGACCTTTTACTAAAACTGTAGAAACAAAAATTCACTTTCAAATTCCATTTGCAATTGAGCTATTTAAGTTACAGCTGCAATAAGGAAAAGTGTTAATTAAAGCTAGAATTCTGGTTTGGAAACACTATATGCAGCACACTCAGGCCTAGAGATAAAAAAACAAGTGTTGTAACATAAAAGCCTCTAGAGAGACATTCTTAACTGAGGAGAGGTGTCTGAAGAAAGGATGGATTCAAAAGGAAATGGGAGAAAGATCATCAAAACACCTCGGGGGAAAAACGCTACCTATTTATCTAAAATCTCTGCTATTTATTTGGCAGAGAAAATAATGAAGATTCTCTAATTCAAAATGATCCAACACATTAAAGGTTTCTTGAAGCTGTAATTTACCCGTAAACCTCAGCCTTATAGTCACCTTTTAATTCAGAAAAAGTGCATACATTGAGTTGGAAAAAATGCACTCTACAGTCTACAGAAGACTTCAGTTTTTACTTTTCAAAAAATATGAAAGAGTATAATAGAATTAAATGACTATGAAAAGTGGATATTAAAATTAATAGTACCATACAGTTCAAGAAAAATTATTTCTACAGGAGCGATTAACAAAAAAATCATTCCCTTTTCAAATTAAATAGCCATTAAAAAATGGGTTATTTCACTTCAGAGAAAGCCTGTAATTTCAGACATTGCCTTTTACCCACCATTGCTTTTCCCAGGCTGCAAAGTTAGCTGTCTTCCAATTGGAGAAATATTATTTAGGTCTATGGCTGTAAAACAGATAAGAACTTAAATTTAAGCATGCATTGCATACAGAGTTTTAAAATCTAGCAGCAGTAAGTTAGAATATTTAATACAACTAAACAAAATTTTTGCATCAAAGTTTGCAAGAGATTAGAAAGGAGTACTGAAGAAAGGTTACCATTATAGCTGATTAAGAGAATTTCAGCACCTTTCTATTCAAAAAAAGCTTAGCGAAGTAGCATGAACTTTGCTCAGATCTTTGTCACCTGCAGCCTCCTCTACAATAGGAAGATTTAAAAGAAACTCAGTTTATGCTTAGCCAAACAGGCTGTGTTCAAGTAAAACACATTTCCAGAAAATCATGCAGTCTGACTTGAAGATAAAGATGAAGAATCTAACACTGCGCTCTTTTTATACAGCTAAGGAACACATCACACCATTTTCTTTCACCACTCACTTTCCCAGATATTTGTATTGGCAGGAAAGCAGTCAGAGTAAGTCAGACGTGCAGACATCGGAAGAAAAGCATGAAGTAGAAGACTTGGCTATTACCAGTATTGACACAGCAAAGTTGTGTGTGTAAATTAAACTGGTTGAAGACAGGTTATGAAAAGCTAAAAATCTATCAGGTGTGCCACCTTTTATCATTGGTTCTTAAAATTTAATTGACATTTTAAAAAAACGATGCTTGATAATTTCTCCAAAAACCAGATAATTTTGGCTGGACACACAAAAGCAACTTACATTTAGTTGAATTAAACTGAGAAACTTGCTTGCCTTCATGTTCAGTCCAAGGAGAAGGAACTATGAGTCTTTTTGTGAAAAACTAGAGTAGAATAGAAAGAAACCATCTAAACATTTTTAAAAATTGGAGACTCTCAACTTAAATTTAATTACTACCCTGACCAAGAAAGATTTAAGTCATACCTTTTGCTACTCACAGAACTATATTTTAAGAATTTTAACTTTTCCTTCCTCCAAACCTATAGTTATCCCTTATATCCAAAATATATTGCCTTATTTCAGGCCCAGAAAGGTTAAAGAAAAAAAAATTTGATTTGAAGATGACCACCAAGTTCTTTATGACTGTACCACCTCAGATCTTTCAAGTCTGCAGAGTGAAAATTGTACAAAGCTTTCATTTAACACTAATTACTCATTTAAATATTTGAATTGCCTCCATCATGCTTACTGCACAGTAGTTTAACGTAATTCTTTTCAAATTTTCAGTTTGTTAAATTGTTGTATTTTAACAATTGAGCTGTTTCACGGAAGTGCTAGAGACACTGCAGTAACAGTAAAAGAAGTGGTCAACCAAGGCTTTTTGGCAATATTATTAGTATATTTGGCTAAACTAGTTAGCAGTGAAACATTTATGAGTCCTGGCACTTCAGTCTCTTTCTTTGAACTAGAAACTGTATCTGCTGTCACAGTTGCACTCCAGAACACCCTGATGCTGAGGAGATGAACACTGTTACATAGCTTCAAGAAATACATGACAAATCCTATTCTCACAATAAAAGCAAGACTCAAAGCAAATGAAAAAACTCAGCATGAAACACTCAACTATTAAAGGCATAATTTTTATCAGAGACATGGTTTCAAGCTGTTCAGCTGCATAATCCATTAGCTTATGCCTCACAAAGAAGAAATATCCTTTTTAATGCACATTTAGAACAACAGATTATCTTAGCTGCAGGTCAACTACATAGCACCTTTATGGAATTATAAAACATTTTTTGTTTATAGGGACAGAAACCGACAACAGCATGAAACAGTATAAAAAGGTCAATAACACTAAGGAAGACTTGCCTATCATAGCCTTATTTTTTTATTTTTTTAAATTGATATAACATTGAAGATTTCTGTAGTGAAGGTTTGAAACACTTCTTTCTCTGCTAGACGAATGGATAGTAAAAAATAAAATGAAAAATGGACAGAAAGAATTACAAGCTACCAGAAGAAAGTCTTGCCTCCAACTAAGCAGACTTTGGAAGAAACAAAAAAATCACCAAGGTTCTGCTATGTTTTTAAAAAGGCACTGAAAGAAACTAAGCTACCTAACACTACCAGTTACTGTAAAACCAGAAATACTCAATCATTATTTTTAACCTTAAATTAACTATTTATAAGAGTTATCTTACAGCTACATTCCCACTAGCCAAGCAACACAAAAGAAAAAATCTGCTGTTTTGACCTACAGGTATGTGAAAGAAGATGGGAAGAAAAAGACCATCTGGATTCCAACTACAACTGCAAGGGATGAGGACACAAAATTACTTTCTTACTGACCAGTTAAATATAATCGGCTTCTGGGTTTTGAAATCCTATCATAGACATGGATCTTTCTTGTAGGTATGTAGCTAAAACAAATCAATACTTGATAGCATAGAAAGTTTTATTACCTCCTCAATGGCTTTTTGCCTTCTGTCTTCTGTCTCCTTGTCAATTCTAAGTAACAAATGAAAAACAACTCTATTATCAAAGCCATCACATAATTGGAAAACAACAGTAAAATCCAACCATGTAATCTTTTACAGATGCTCAAGAGAAACATTATAAATGAAATTACACTAAACTCTACATCTTATGATGTTTTTGCCGTTATGTGCAATAATCTCATTCTATAAATTTAGAAATATAAAGGCACTTCAGTTCCTTCAGTTCATTTGAAAAAGATGTGTACCATTTATAAGTACATATTTGCAAATCTTCTATTTACTCCTTGTATGAGCAAATATTTTTATCTAGACAAAAACTCAGTCATGACTGATCTTCCAAAATAATCCATTTAGTTATGTTGAACTTGTCCTATGAATAGATTTTACTATTAAAGTTGCCATGAGATTAGGCTCACAAAGAATCTCACTACAAAATCAAGCAGAATAAACAACTGAGGTGTAACTAACATCAAGGGCAACAGAAGATACTCATGGAATGCTTGTATACTCAAATTCCTGACACATCCCACTTTCCCAGCACAGAGTTCCCCCTTTCAAATAGCTAATCTGCCGTATTTTCTTCAGTTCAGGACACAATATTATATTTCAGTTTGAATCAATTAATACATTCCCTTATGCAGCTTTTAATCTAGTTTTTAAAAAAAAAAAAAAGTAATTACTTCAGCCATCTTCAAATGATGTGTGAGATTCTACATTTATACTTCCTTTAACGGTCACCTTCAAGTCTCACTTTCAGTTACTAGTGTGTAATTTATAAGCTTCAAAAAATTTTACAGTGAATATTCATCATCGTCTTAGCTGAATCACGTAATACTTTCATACATAGTTAGTATACCTGAATTACCCGCAAATAGAATTTTAGAAATCAGTCAGATAACAGACATTATTAGCTACACAAACACACGTATATGTACCTAATACATACATAAACTTTCCCTCACAGCCCTCTTTCTTTGATGCTAATCAGACTTTGAATAGATCTGCAATACTTCAACATGCCATCTTCAACTACGTCTGCCTGGATAATGCTAAAATGACAGTTCTGTGAAGACACTTGCACAAAATTCAGTTATTGTACCAAAAGAAAGCATACAATCATTGTATATTTATGCAGAATGGATCACAAGTAATAAGCATCTTTGCAAGCCAGATTCCAAAGGAGAAACAGGGGAACTGGGAAAACAGCTCCCACTAAAATTGCTGGTTAGTGCAGAAGATGTTTTTTCTTCAGTGCGTAATTCCAGGAAAATAACAAAGTGAAATCATACGTATTTAACAATAAAAACAAGCCAGTCTTGTATCCAACTTCAACCAACAGAGCACTTGCAACTGTGACAAACAATATGCAAGATGCAGTATAGAATTTTTTTTTTTAAAACTTAATATATAATAGCATAGCATCCAATCTGCAAACATTCAATTTCTACCAGTGGAAATAAAGGAAGAGGAAAGTTTGTGGACAAGACTGTGTCACTATGTCTGCTCAATTACTGACAGCCTATTTTTCACTAACACAGTCTGCCAGAGAAAAAGTTCTAATCATTTTATAAGCAGTGCAATAAACACACAGCACACAGATGATGCCCAGTTTATGGAAACGGTAATACTGCACAAAATCAAGTCTACATATGATACACAGACTTTGCGAAGTGCTCACGAGCTCACGAGCTTTCACACTGTGCTGCTACCCAAACTGTTTTCACTACATAATGGAGAATTAACAGTTTGAAATATTTACACACCAGATTTCTTACACTCGTGGTTCTTTGCAACTAATTGAGAAAATGACTTGTTAGCAAGCATTATTGAAATGGAGTATATAGTTTGTGTAACATTATGCATGGGCTTCAAAAACTTGGTTCTTTTATCAGGAACTTTTAATGTCAAGAGCTGTGTTTATGACACTATTTTCCATAAAGCAGTATTTATTAAATGTAAATTAAAATTAGTTGCCATACAAGATCTTACACACACATATACATATATATATGCATTTAACCATGTACAGTTTGCAGCCACCAGAAATAACCACCGCGGTCTGTACCACACTGAAACATGCAAGCATGGACGAAGCAAATCTACACATAGACAAGCTAGCCTCTTTCTAGTCATATCAGATGATCTAAAAAAAAAATAAATGACAGCAGGTATGAAACAGTGGGACAGACTGAAAGGACCCACTGAGACAACGCATGTTGATATCTATAGGCCATGCCACTAATTATCATTGGAATTGTCACCCAAGCCATCTAAATTAAAGCTAGTTTGTGTGTGTCCTAAGAGGCTTCCAGAAACAATGTAATCAACTCGCGAAAAACATAAGGCTTAAGGCTTTATAACATATAAAAAGCATTAGGGTCTGAAATCTACTGGCTGCTAGGGAAGGCCAGGAAACAAACAGATGTTAAGAAAAATAATACTGACATTAAGACATGGTGATTCACAGATACAGCTGAGGACAGTTATATTCTTTCTACATGTCTACTGTAGCAAGAAATTCATATTCCGTCTTATACCTCTTCCTGTTCAAAAAGAGAGATGTAGGTTCAGTCAGACACTAAAAACAACAGGTCTAATTCACAACATTTTTTACAATCACGGTGGTGCTGTAACAGGTTGCCCAGAGAGGTGGTAGATGCCCCACGCCTGGAAACATTCAAGGTCAGGTTGGACGGGGCTCTGAGCAACCTGATCTAGTTGAAGATGTCCCTGCTCATTGCAGGGGCTTTGGACTAGGTGACCTTTAAAGGTCCCTTCCAACCCAAACTATTCTATGATTCTACGAATATTCAGAGAACTCTTGCCCTAAACAGCCCTCTATCTGTGTTTCATTTCACTAACAGAACTTGAAAGTCCTATAGGCATAAACAGGATGATTGTTTTATTATTCTATTACTGTGGTGCTTCATGCCATGAGGTGCAATTCTTTGTGCAAGTTCGTATCTGAGAAATGTATGGGAGTATCTACAGGATTCATCATTGTGGCCTTCCCGTGGCATGTTGTTCTGTACTATTAGTATGCACGACTATCCCTCAAGATGAGCTGTGAATACTAAACCTGTTTTACTTACTCATTTGTTTTCCCCATGGAAGTTACTTCCAGCGAAAGGAAAAAGTTGAGATCAAGATCCCCAAATTATTTCAAGTAACTAGCAATCTCCTTCTCCTCAAAGACAGCAAGCTTATTGGTCTTCCCTCCTCAATATTAAGCCCAATCTATACCTTTCAAAAAGGGGGCTTACCCAGCTAGCTTTCCCAGCTCCACCCTTCTGCAGGAGTCCCAAAGACCAAAGAAGCCTACACTTCACAGGTCTCAGTATGGAACACTGAGAAGATAAATTGTGTTGTGACAAGGAGCAGGAGAGGTAGCTTTGTAACAATCACTGGCAAGACATTTTCTTGCTTCCGTTGACTGCTTTTATCTGGCTGTCTTCCAAGCTGCAATCAAGAGTGGATCAGCAGTTCTTAACATTAAAAAAAGAGCGACACAGAGGCAGCCTCATCTAAGTATTATATCCACATCAGGGACACATAAAAATCTATGTTAAAACATTTGAATAAAAAGTCTTTAATGCTGTGTTGAAACAGTAATAAAGCAAAAGAACAGTGTTCTAGCATTCAAGCTAAGTTAACTGTATAAAAACAGATGGTAAGTTACCTAGCATGACTCAAATACATTGCTTGGCGTCGAACATCTTCCGAGTCAATTTCCACAGGATTTATTAGAGCAAGCTGATCAATAGACCATCTAAATTTTCCTGGTGTCTAAAAAAAGAAATGGACATCTTAATGCTTGCTAGTCTAAAAAGATAAAAATAAAACCACAGGACAAGTCTCAATGGAACAATGCAATCCTAACTTCCATATAGTTTCTGTCAAAGACAATCAAAAGAGTTTCTATTTAAATGATCTACTTTAAAAAAAAAAATAAGTCAATCAAGCCTCTTTATCCCGGTAGTGGCATTACAATGATTTACAAGATAATATAAAGTAGAAGGTTATAGCTAATATTTGCAAACTGAGGTATCCCATTTCTTCTCAATTTCTGAGGACAGATCTACTAAAGATACAGAACTTGGGATAAAATTTAGTCGCTTCTAGACTGCCGCAATCAAATTGCGGTTCCATGAAAACCCAGTGTCTGTACGTAACTCAAGTTATCCAAATAATAGAGCAACCTTTCTTTCACCTCACATTTCCAAGAAGACTGAGGAGTTGCAACCCCATATGCATCCTGCAAAGTCTCCCTCATAATGCCATGCACAGCACACAACAAAACACAATTCAGAAATAAAGCAGCTTCCCCCCTTTATTTAAATTACAAAATGCTGTTCAAATATCTGTTTGAAAAATGGTCTACCAAGCGAGCCTTTTTAGTTTCATTAGCACAGCGTGATCTCTCCTGCTTATCAGAAAATAATTCCAACTGCAAACTAGAATGTAATTTGCAACTAAAAAATGTTATATATACACAAAATCATTAACTTGATTTTGCAAATATGCAGATAGCTCATAATAGAAGCATAATTAAGTTTTGCTTGCATCCAGCCTGCTTAGCATGTAAATAGGAACTGGTTTTTTTCCACTTTAAGTGGGACAAGAACACCATATCCAACAACTGTCATTTATCTACTTTCAACTGGTTTTGGCACTTAGTAGGTATATGCTAATCTATTGATACACCTAATATCTAAAGAAAAAAAAAACAAAACAAAAACAGGACAGTAGGAAGACTAAGTGACAGTGTTAGTATTAAAAGCAACATATTCCTGTAATCAGAAGAAACACCAAATACCACCAAAATTCTTTGGCTTAGTATATATATTAAAGTACACTAAATAAAATACACTTTCTAATGCATTTCAAAATATTAGCATTACATCTGTATAGTTACACAAATAAAGACTAGATCTTACAGATGAGGATTTTGTTGATTTAAAGACTGAAGGACTGGAGACAATCTGCTCCTGAAGAGTATAATAATCACTGGGACTTTCAAAAGGATTCAGGACTGTGACTCGTCCTGGAGTTTCTGGTGTTATCTGCATTTTAGCTTCTTTTGTATCACCCATAACACTACGCTATACCTGGAAAAGAGAGAGGGAGAGGAAGAATGAAGGGGAAAAAAAAAGAAATTAATTTTGACTTTTTAGGGTCATCCTGAAGGTTTTGGGAAGAGATGATCAATCATTTTTAAGGAGCCAGAAACATTTAAGAGACTAACAAAAACGAAGTTAGCTTTAGATTGGACCTACTGACACATGAAGCTGATAAATAAGGCTGATACGAAGAACAACGGAAAATAAATAGAATCTATGAAAACAAGACAAGAAAGGACACTGAAAAGCCGATTAAAAAAAAAAAACAAAAAACAAACAACAACCAACTAACAACAACAACAAAAAAAGCCACCAGAAAAAACAAGCCGGCGATGAATCCAAATGTAATCCTGGAGGGCAGCGCACATACCAAACGCTGGCACTCAAGGGCTTCAGAAATAAAGCGGTATTACTGGAATGCGGGTAGCCCAGGGACCACCTCCCCAGGTGCCCCTCAGCGCCAACCAGCCCTCCGCTACCCAAGAAGCAAGCATAGAAGGAAACGGAGAGCCACAGCCACAACGGCGAGACGGGGCCGCCGGCAAGCCCGCCGCCGCCCGCCCCGGACCACCCCAGGAGCCTCTGT